GCCCACATGAACTTGCTTTTAGAGATTGAGTCCCAACTCAACGCCCTCATGGATCATACCATGGTGGTAGTTCCAGTGGAGGGAGAATGACCCGTACATCCAGAGAAGAAAGTAGGAGTGAGATAACTATGAAAAGAGGTGGATTCATGCCTTATCCAATCTTTTTTTGTGTGGATAAAATGTATATACATACATACATACATACATACATACATACATACATACATACATACATACATACATACATACATACATACATACATACATACATACATACATACATACATACATACATACATATATATATATATCCAATGTTTATGTACAACATCAAAAACAGTAGCGCAGTCAGACATTTATAGTTAAAGGGGTCAGTCTTTAAGAATTTTATATTACAGTGGTCAAAGTTTAAAATATCAACATACTTTCTACAGATTTAAAGTATTTATATATACTATATACTTAAAAATTTGTTTTCTTGCAGGGGCCGTGGCCACCTCCAGCCCCTCCCTATCTCCACCCCTGATCAAAAACACCATCAACGGGTCATCACCAGTAAGGATGCCCAGCTACCACAAAAAACCATTCTATAGCTACATATACATGCTAGCCACAAAAAATGGTGACAAAACAGCAAAAAAATTAGAATGTTATCATATGATAAAGATACATAGAATAAAGCACTTTATACACCATATACTTTATATGATGTATTATGTCCTCGATGTTGGCTTTTGCTGCCTCAAAACAAATGGAGTTTCTTGTTCTCCACATCCAATATATGGTATAACAAAAACATATCCTCACGGCTTTAGCCTTGATGTGTTCACCATTGTGGTCCTTCTTTATCCATTTGACCGCGCTCCTCAATGTTGTCATTTGCCTTGTGATGCCTAGCCATGTCTTTATCCTTGTCCAAACCTTTCCTGTAATATGACATTCAAAATATAGGTGTGACACCGTTTCCGGTTCACCCTTAAAAAAGCACAAACATTAATCACATCGAGATATTCCAAGTTATCATACGTGGCTAGCCTATTACGGAAGGCTAACCAAGTAATGAAGGAGAACTTGGGAGGAATGTATGATTTCTATATGAAGGACATCCAAAGGTGAGGAGTACCCTTAATCAGAAGCATGTCATACATCCTAGATGATGATAATCTTTCATCAATAGTTATCTTTCCAAGATGAACTAAAGCCTCATTAAGAGAGGAGAATTTAGACAAGATCAAATCACGAACCAAAGCAAACCTTTTCATCAGCAAAGAGTCCCTATTGTGTGGAACAAAAGTCCACACATCCCTTCCATGGAGATATACACCATGAACCCACCTAACCCAAAGTGAGTCTTTTTTGGAGTGAATATTCCAAAGGGTTCGGGATAGGAGTGCATGATTCCACGCCTTTGTATCTTTTAAGCCCAAACCCCCCTCATCTTTAGGTAAGCACACATCATTCCATGCAACTTTAGCATGTTTACCACCCCAAAGAAAAATTCAACATATGTCAGTAATTCGGTCAAGTATGGCTCTAGGGACCGGAAAAATACCAAGCCAAAAGGACTGTACTCCCTGCATGACTGATCTAATCAACTCCACTTTACCTGCATAAGATAGAGTCTTTGTGTTCCACACATTTATGTAATCTATCACAGTGTCCAGCAAAGGAGCAAATTGTGCAACAAATATCTTTAAAGGAGCAAGTGGGATACCCAAATACTTAACAGAAAAGATCCTTGTTTAAAGTCTACCATATGAAGGATATAATGCAATTGGTTAGCTATATTCCCTCCTAAAATATATTAGCCTTATCATGATTAAACATAAGTCCTGAGACTTGGCCATAGTCATCCAGAGCATCCACCAATATCTTTATAGAAGTGTAATTACCTTTTGAAAACAACATCAGGTCATCAGCATATGCTAAGTGTGATATATTTACTTTAGAGCACAAAGGATGGTGGCAGAAAGTAGGAACCGAGGTCCTAATGTCCAACATCCGTGAGAGATACTCTAAACAAATAACAAATGACATTGGGGACATAGGGTCCCCTTGTCTAAGACCCCTCTTTCCCTCAAACCATCCATGGAGTACACCATTTATGGAGATTGAAAAAGAAGATGTCGTGACACATTCCATAATCCAGTTAACAAACAAGTTAGGTAACCCAATCTGTCTAAGTATACTATCTAGGAAATCCCAGGATACAGTATCGTAGGCCTTCCTAAGATCAATCTTGATCATACATCTAGGAGTTACCTTTTTCCTAGCATACCCCCTCACTAACTCCTGTGCAAGGAATATGTTGTGAGACATCAATCTTCCATCCACAAAAGCTCGCTGTGCAAGGTTAATAATTCCAGAAAGACAAGGTCCCAACCTAGCTGCAAGAATCTTAGTGATAATCTTATATGTCACATTTGTACAAGATATAGGTCTAAAATCTTATATGGTTAACCTGCCTAAGCATAGTCCCAGATACAAAGAACTCCCTTACAGCCTCACACACATCCTCCCCAACCGTGCCCCAATTTGCTTTGAAAAAAGCAGAGGAAAAAGCAGAGAAGGTATGTTTGTTAATCGTCTTAATTTGAAGTCCACTTTCTATTTATTTTGCTCATTGAGTTAAAATTATTATACTGTATTAGGCACTCAAGCAGCTCCAAGGAACAAGTCTGCCTCATTGTCCTCCTGAGAGCAAGAGGCTTTTGGGTTGGAATTTTGTGAGGGTTGGTTAATATTATTGTATCATTTCATTTTGTTTTTACTTTGAAGTATTAGAACAATTTCAATTTTGGTGAATTTAATTATTCCCAAACTACTACAAAGAGTTGATTTCTGAGTTTGTTTGCTTATTAATGAATGAAAGGCCTATTTTATAGCTTTTCAATTGCCTAAATCTGTTTTGGACCTATAAGGTATTTATTTTTATCCCTGAAGCCTCTTCACTTGTTTTGCTTGATCATATCATCTATTAATGCTATATAGTATTAATAGATGATCAAATTTGTAACCCGTGCATGTAAAGATGTAATTCCATATATGATCAAATTATTCAAATATAAATAATGAAAACAAGGAGTATAATTGCTCAATTATTTATAATTGCCAAAAGATATTTTATGGGCCCGTCCCGCACAGTAGCAGGCTGGGCCAGTACTGTCCGAACCGAGTCCATGCCTAGTTAGTATTATATGCAGATCAGGAGCTGATCCTGAATTCCTGACTAGGGTTGAAAGTTGAAACCGAGCAAATAGTCGGATCAGTTTACATGAATTTTTTGTTCTGGACTGAAACTGGTTTGAAAATGTTCGAGTTGCAACTTCCAACTCTCTTAAAATCAGGACTTTTATTGTGGTTCTTGATTTTTTAAAATAGTCTAGAGGTGGAACTGATTTGAATGGAAACCTGGACTCGTTTTTGAAGATCAGGTTCAGGTTCATCTTCCCCTACTTGGAAGTTGGAACCAGAAATTGAACGAGGAAATTTCCTATATGAAATCAATAAGGATAAAGTTCATAAATGAGATTATTCCCGTTTTTTTTTTTCAAAATAAGATTCATTCACTCTCATTTGAGAAATTTTAACCAATGTATTCTTTCGAGATTAAATAAGTCTTATTTGAGAAATAAGACATGTTTAATCCTATTTTTGAAATTGGGGCACATATTAGTGTTATATTGAGCAATTTTTAAAAGGGAAAATGGAAACTAATAATCCAACCTTTTAACGGTCTTCTTTTAATAGTCCCACCTTTTCGTTATTCGTGAATAATCCAACCTTTGCACCTCATCTTCATTCACTGGTCCCTGACCGGTTGATGACCTGCTATTCCAAGTTATTTTCTTATCTTTGCAAAATATTATCTTTGTGAAAGGTGGAATTTATGGTATAATAGTTTGCAGAGAAAAGAAAATAACTCGGAATAGCAGGTCATCAACTGGTCGGGGATCAATGAATGAAGATGAGGTGCAAAGGTTGGATTATTCATGAATAACGAAAAGGTCGGATTATTAAAAGAAGACCGCTAAAAGGTTGGATTATTAGTTTCCATTTTCCCTTTTTAAAATTCAATTGACTTGGGTCCATGCCTAGTTTCAATGGTCATTATATGAAGTAGATATTTCATCAATTAATCAGTTATCAGCATTTGGTGACTTATGGTAACAAGGAATTGAAAAATGATGTTTTAGACTTTTAGCTAACATTTATAGCGTTTTCAATAAGTGATAATGTTGTTCAGTAAATAGATGTCCGGCTAGACCGGCCTTAGCATTTTTGAAAGGAATCTCCGAAAGGAAAATTGGAACCATTTTGGGTTAGCATTTCGAAATATGACATTTTTTTTACTAATTGTTATGATCAAACATTTAAATTAAAAAATATCTTTTTACAACCCGCAAACCCATATGACTAGTCAAAATAATCCTCTAATATAATTTGGATAAAATAATCTTCTAATATACTTCCTCCGTTCTTTAATTCTTGAAACATTGTGATTTTTGGACTATTCACAAACCGACCATGATTTTTTTTACTAATATACATAACTAAATTATTATGTATAAAATGTTATTGAATTCTTATCAATGTGAATTATCAAAATATTATCTTTTTATAATTTTTACTAATACATGATTAAATATAATAATAATCAAGGTTGTGCATTAACAAACGTGAAAGTCCTGCAAGAATTAAAGAACGTAATTTTGTTTCCGTTGCATGCTACACACGCTCAACGTTTATATATCTCGGGTCTAAAGAAACCGAATCTTGTTTTTCTAAATCAACCCGGGGACGAGCAGCGGCTTTGGCCATTGAAGAAATAAAACCCTGACATGCCGAGAACAAACCGCTGAAAACCATCCTTTTTCTGTAACAAACAATGACTACCCAGAGATGAGCAGCGGCCTCAAACCCTGAGGTGGAGAACTGCGGCACCATTAATGCATTGATTATTGTTAGAATTTACTCTCAAGCATATATAAGTTACTATATCGTAGTGAATAGCACATTAATCTTTCTTTAAAAATGGCCAATAAGGTTTGCAACTATGCAATATTTGTTGTCATATAATACACACAAATGGAGCAAAGGTTGGTTCTGGGCCCAAGCCACTTCTGGGTGTTGGGGGGCTTAATGAGAGATTTGAGCCTATGACCTCACACACAAATAACCCAACTGCGGGGCTAAAAGTAAAAAACAGCAGCCCTTTTCAGAATAAGACCACATCTCCTGGCTGGATTACCAACTAAAGTGTCATCATCCCAGTTATCTACTTCTAGTGATGGTCTGAGGATGCCAAAACATTATGCTCCTGCAGGTGTCTTTGAAATTGAGCTAAACGGTTCTGCATCTGCAAGATTGCAGCAGCCTTCTGAGAGAGGATCGAGTTCAACCCACTTATGTAATCATCTAACTTGTTTCCTGGTCGATCTGCTTCCACTAAAAGATTCATCTCCTGAATTATTATAATATATACACACAAAAACCTATCAGGATAGCGGCATACAGTGTTTCTACTTCTACTACTACAATGTGTTATTTTACGTTCTAGCATCTTTATTATGAGATTAGAGAAAATAAATAGTGTAAAACTAAGGATGGTGATAATGGATCAATATTCCGCACATTTCATTTATTTATTTATTTATTGAGGGAGGGGGTCTAGGAAGCGGATATATACCCTGGAACTGTGGGCCATATATGGAAAGACTAAAAGTTGTGTGAGGACCGTTCTCCTAGGATTAAAACTAATATAATCACCAAATTTTATATTATTCCATATTTATATATTGTCAGTTACCTGTCTTACGATGTCCATAGTTTCTTCTACTTGTCTCCTATGAGCATTGACGAGATCTTCCTCTTCCTAAAAGGATTCAGCAATCAGTTAGTTGTACAGAGGGCAATTGAAATATATCAATTTTCAAGCCTAAAAATCCAAACTCTACCTACCTTTAAAAGTGAATTTAAATCATCATTCTCATTCCAAACCTTAGGTTCTGTTCTAAGTGGCTCCTTCCACTTGTTTGTTTGGTCATGGTCCCTCCTTTTTTTCTCTTCTGGATTAGAAACATTGGGTGTCTCAACTTTTAAATTTTTTCTCGATGATATTTGCTTGACTTGCTCATAGAAGTCCTCCTGGTACTCATCTTTCTCTGTTTGTTCTGACCATGAATTGCCCATATTATCTTCATATGTTGATGCAGAAGGTAGCACGGTTGATTCCCTCAAATTCATAGTTGAAGATGGCACATCTTTCTTGGAGTTGTTCCCTTTCGAAAGACTCTTCACTCTGCAGTTCATAGATATTTTGTCAAATTCAAGTCAAAATGGCTGGAAAAGAAGGGGGAAACACAATAAATTATTACTCAGAATCATCTAAAAAGAGATATTACCTGTCTGCATATCGCAATGTGTTGAGAGTATGTTCACATGATCCAGAGTTTGGGGAAATGCAGGATATCATTACAGTTCGACTGTTTCCAACAAATGAGTCCCTTAGGACTTCAGTTAGCTTACTGCCTCTAAAGGGTATATGGCCTTGATCATTGTCAAGCGCTCTGATGCATTCCTTCAATGCTAGCAAGCTTTTGTTGATCTCTGCTCCTTCGATTCTGCATATAATGATTAGAAAACAAAACAAGAAATGAATTAGCATATGGGCTCGAATGCTCTTACTTGAGGAGGACCTAAGAGTCATATATTTTAGCATTAAGTATGTCTTTCGCCCCTGTAAATATAAATTATTTGTCAGGTCTCTCTGGTATTATTTTTTGTTACCCATCCCTGCAATTTACATTTTTTTTCATTCCTCTGTCAACCTAAGCTAAAAAAACTGACGTGTATCACACAACTCTAGTTTGGATTTTCCGTGTCATTTAAATGGTTGCATATTATGGATTAATTTATTTCCAAATGGCGAGAGAGATGTAATTTGAAAGCGAGAATGGCGAGTTTTCCTTAGCCCCGGACCGTATTTTGGACCTGAATCGGACAGGAATGGACCGGTCCGGACCGGACCGGTATTAACAGGTTCAGGTTTCGGTCCTTAGAATTTTAAGATTCCGGGTTCCAGTCCGGTCCGGGTCAAACCCGGAAAAAAACAGGTCTGGACCGGTAACCCGTTAAGTTATTGTTCCGTAAAATATATACTTCATTCTGTATGGCATAAATATAACATATAAAATATATATGGAGTGAATTAAAGGAAACCTACTTTACTAGCACTTACACCTGCGCCAACATACATGATACACCTGCTAGCCTGCCGATTTATATATTTTTATAGGAAACTAAATGAAATTGTTTATGATTAAATATTCATATGCCAAAATGATAAATGAATTTAGCAATTATTTAGAATATACGCACATCATCATTTAAAATAAAAATATTTGCACATTATATTATAGCTTGTACTACGTAACAAAAATCTAAGATAATATGAAGTATGCCTTTTTTTTAAAAACCGGGTCAAAACCGGACTGGACCGGAAATTTCAGGTCCGGACCGGTTATTAACAGGTCCGGCTTCGGTCCTTATAAAACCAAGATTCCGGTTCCGGTCCTAACCGGTTTTGGACCGGCGCACACCCCTAAGTATCATATCAAACTTGACCACTAATCCACGTCTGTCTAGGTTGTACCCTCCCTCTCTTCCATATACTTCCTCTCCCCACCTCTGAATTCGCCTCCCCACATAAACTACAGGGATGATTAATAAAACATTATTTTACCAGGACCAATAAATGATATGTGGGGTAGTCATAAAATAATATTTCAACCCATGATTAATTGTTCATGATGAAATAACTGTTCAAGAAAACGAATGAGCTTTAAAAACATCTCAGGTAATAAGTAGACACAGACCTGGTCTGTTTGTCATTATCAGTAGTGTCAGCGCCACGTTCACTTCCAGCAAGGTCTATAAAAGAGAGCTTACCAACAAGTCGGGCTGGTTTGGATTCATTTGCATCGGCTGACTTCTTTATAGAAAGCTGAAGTATAGCATGTGACCTAGATGATTCTTCATTGGCACCAGTGGTGCCTGTACTTCTAGTTGCACTGCCTCTGTCAATCAGCTCCTTAATCATCTCCACATCAGAAACTCTGTACTCTTGTAGTCCCACTATACATACTTGCTGTTTACCATCCTCCCTCATGCAAAGTTTTCTGCAGAAGGGTCAGTTATCATGAATGCAAGCAAATGTGATGCAAACATCTAAGAACTCTTCAGGATGTATTTTTCCTGAAAATGGTTTCAAGAAGAAATGTTTTTATAAGAGGGGTTCTATTAAAAGAAGTGAAATGTTAGGCAATACAATTACAACATTCTTTTGATGGGAATTTCTGAAAGAAATGTTTGAGACCATTTGTAGGGCATGTAGGCTTTAATTTTAGCTTATAAGATAGTTTTCACTTAAAGTTATCTATGGTTACATTTAGAAGCACTTTTATCCAAAAGCACATCTAAAAAGACTCAAAAAGATTTTAACAACAGAATCATGCTAAGAGCACTTACTTCCGATCATTAAGAAGGTCAAAGAGTTTCCCTCCGTATATCTCAAAGAAGCTGACAAACAATTGGAAACCCTGATTCCGGTATGTATAGTGCATGAGATTCAAAATGTCTCTTGATGCCCTCAATGGCAGTGGTTTCATTGTAAATGTCTTCCCGCTTCCTGATGATGATTGAAGTTGGCCAATAAAATCACAGTAAATATTTAAAAGTCAGGAGTGTACAAATTTTCCGCCAACAGAACAAAATATGGAAGATGTATGGAAAATAACACAGCATATCAAGAAAGATGGAAGCATGGACTTCACAAAAACTAAAAATCATGATGCTCTTTACTAAAGGATAGAGACTCTAGCAAGTTTATACTATATAGAGGATACAATCACTGGAGAGAATGCATGTTCTAAAATAAAAATAAAGACGAGAAAATCATTTTGGGGAATATGTGCTACTATTATAAACTATAGTGGCAGACTAGATATACAACAACAACAACCAAGCCTTAGTCCCAAAAGAGTTTGGAGTCGGCTTTCATGAATCGACACATGAAATTGGAGCTAAAAAGATAAAAAAGATACTCCCTCCGTCCCATAAAACTTGGACAAATTGACCTTTCTTGGTCAATGATTATAAACTCTGAACAATGATTTTAGCTATTATATTTGTGTGAAATTTATAAATTTTATACTTTTAGGAGAATTTTTTTAACAAAGAATATTTCCATATAGATTTCATATTTTAAATAATTTCGTATAAAAAAATATCATTGGTCAAACTTGACCATCCTAGACCAAGAAAGGTTAATTGGCCCAAGTTTTATGGCACGGATGGAGTAAAAAGATAATATAAGAAAAAGAAGATAAAAAAGATAAAAATGATTAGATAAAAAAGGATAAAGAACGTAAGGAAGATAACCGATAAAAGGATTACAAAGATAAAAAGAGATCAATCCTCCACACTTAAGGGACCAAAATTGGTAGTATGAAAACTAGGGGCCCAAATCACCAAATTGGGATAATTAGGAAGTCAAATGTACAAATGAAACAATTCATAACTTTCTTCTGCAAGTTCTGGAAATTTACCTGTTTGCCCATATGCAAAACAAGTGGCTTTTGTGCGTTGGAAAATTATAGGAACTATTGGTTCAACAGTTTCACGGTATACCTAAACAAATAATATAGCAAACAAGTAAGGATGAAACAGTTAAGTCTAGAATTTTGTGATACAATTAAATAATTTGGTATTTATAATCACCTCATCATTTGAAACCTCCTCATTTAACACTGCATCGAAGACAAACTCGTGATTCTCAACATATTGTGTCAGGTCAACCTGTGTTGTATTTACACAACTTAGAAACTTCATTATATTCAAAATGGAAACACAGAAGGAAAAATGGATGAATGAGGGGGAGGGGGTCTAAGCTACTTAAAGTCTTAAACAATACATGTTGCAATGTATAATACCATGAATGTAAATGATTTTGGATAAGTACAGTATCCTTCATATTGAATAGCATCTCAGAAGTCAGAATTGAACAAAACTTTCTTCCATTATGACAAATAGTGCGAATGTTAGATTTGCAAATTGCAATATTGCCATAAATGTAGACTTTGAGTTGAAGAATTGAATGTTGATAAGCTAAAAGAAAGCAATCCTTGAAACCATTTGTAATTACTCAATGACAAGGCTGCATGCCTGCATGACATAATATAACACCAAAAACTAGAAACAAGAAAAATGCAAATGACTAATAAAGAAATGTATATTTCTAATGACGCATTTAAGTCAGCTCGATCAATGCTTTTCCTTAAGTTTTGAGGGCACAAACCTTAAGTTTTGTCTCATGAACTACTAATGCGTGGTTACGTGTTTCAATGATGTCTTCGTCATTCTTTGCCAATTCCTTTTTGTTCAATGGCCGCTTACGCACCTAGATTTATCATTAAAAGATTAGCAATTACATCGAGAAGTGAGATCAACTATATTATATATAGCAGCAAAAGCTAGCAAATTCAAAAAAATGTGCTTGACAACATATTATTACAGAATTAAGTTGTCTTGTTCTTGATGCTATTTGTGAAAATTAAGGGTTGGGTGTAACACAACTACAAAAGAACTCTCAAATGGAGAAGAGTGATTCCAATTTAAAAAATGTTGGGCCTAACTCAATCCTAAAAGAATTCCCAAGATGAGAAGATTGTCCAACACTCTTCAACACTTATCACGCCAGTGTAAATAGCAAGCTTGATAAATAAAAGGAGAACTTCCTAGACAGCACATACCACTACTTTGATCTTCGCACCACTGCTAGCCTTTTCTTTCTCAGCAGCAAAGCTCTTTGTTACATTAACATCTGCCAAGCCACGAACTCTACCAGTTTGCCTATTATTTGTAAAATATGACTCCAAGTCATCAAGGCTTTTCCCTTGAGCAAAATGACGAACAGAAGGACCACCATTGTGGTCAGCAACTGGTATCTATAAATGGCAACACAATCATAAAAATAGTTGAAACTAAAATAGAATCCATTTTATAGTGGAAAATACATATAAATGAGGATAGCATTACTTTTGTTAATCTTTGAAACAAAATTAACAAGAACAGTAAGAAACTAACTTTATTAAAATGGGAGAAATTGTGCTACAGTGTAACAATCTTAAGAAAAAGATAACCAGCTATTTTTCTATTCAGGTTATACACACACGCACATGTGTGAGAATTTTCCCAGTTGAGCCCCTAGAAACTATTAAAAAGCATAATAAAAATCATTGCAGCACAATGGCAAAGACTTGCCAAGCAGAAAGAATAATTCAGAATAGGTTGGTGCTATTTACACCTATTTTTAGAATGCTGACCCTCTTAAGACACCCACAACCCCTTTTTTTAAAAAAATTAGCCTTACTTCTAAATAAAAAATATATTATCATATTCCCAATTCACCCTTCCTCCAATCAATTATCCCAAACATGATTTTCTTTAATAGTAAGATTCACAAAACTACTTGTGTGTCATCATTCAACATTAAAACAACAACTTTAACAGTCGGATGGTGTTTCTCGGTTTAACATTGAGCTACAGATACAAAATATGAAGCAAGTACAAAAATCGTACCGAGTACAAGTTATTCTCCAACAGTATACGAAGTATTTCTTTTAACATTACCAGTATTTGTCTAAAAAATCAATCATTCACTTGAATGAGTGAAATCTGAGTGTTCTGTGGAATGCAGCAAAATGGTGACCGGAGGAGGCTGGTAATTTTCTTTAGTACTTTTAATGATCATATTTATGTGGTACTTGAGACTTAGGTGTATTTGGGTATTTCTTCCAGTAACCAGTAAACTAAACCAGAGTCTAGAAGATGGGGAAAACAGTGAATACACTAATGCAAATTCAATCCACCATAAATAGAAGGAAAAACATCAACTTTATCATAAGTGTATGATTCATACCTCGGGAAGAAGCTCAGTATCCACTGAATACAGATCTAAGAGTCCAGGACTGAACTCACTAGGTTCATCCACATTCTTCCGCTGGCTGGCAGGCCGAGGATCAGACGGCGGAGTCAATGGCTCCGGAAAAAGATCACTTCCTCCACTCCTCTGAGAACCTCTAGACACTCTCGAGCCCTGAGCTCAGCCACGACAAATCCCATTTCGAGAACATTGGAGCAATATAGATAAGCACAACTTAAGAGTAAAAAAAAATCAAATAACCATGTAGTAGCGATTCAAAACCTGTGATTGAGAAATAGAGTTGCTTGAAGTTTGAAGGTGTTGAAGACCCGCTGATTGAAGCCATCTATCATTCGATGAGGTCTCTAAAAAATTGTCGGAGTACTGCCGCTGATGATGAGCCGTCGCCGCGGCGGACCTCTGCCTTCCCACGGCATTCATCTTTCTCTTGGTCTGACCGGAATGCAAATAAATTAATATAGCCGGAATCTATCTCCGGTCAAATCTGATTATAAGCTTGCTTGAAGAAATGGTAGCTCGCAAAAATGTACTGCTATAAAATTTAACCAGTTTATACTTTATAGTCCTATTTCCCATTGAATATTCTTTTGATTTCATGTTTCAAAATTTTATCATTAATAAAGTTGCTTTATAAAAAAAATGGCACAAAAATTAATTTGTTTTTTTGGAAAAAATATACTTCCCCATCACCCTAACTTTGTTCTATTTTACTTTTTCGCACGTATCATTAAGTTTGTCTCGTATCATATTTGATTTGATAATATATGAATAGTTGCAATTCATTCTTATTTTATTCACACTTTATCAATTCAATATCAATCACATAAGTTCACTAAAATTTTAATCCTTACCATCTTGGCAACAATTGTCTCTAATTGATGTATACTGCCATAAGCCTCCTAAAAGTATTGAAAAAGTTATTCACCTTTTTTAAAAAAATCATCAGAAAAGACTAGATGAGTTTTTTCCTCTATCATATCACACTTACATGATGTACAATGTCAATTTTATTACCTTATTAGTCATATTTTTATGGATATATAAAAGCATTCACTTGTTTAAGTGAATCACAGTATTATCTCTGTAATATTAAAGTACAAAACTTTTGGGTTATCGGGATTTATTAAAATATTCAAGTAGCTTTTATCTATTATTTGAAAATTGGTATCAATATTCAAGTCATATTAAGATCTAAATTTAAAAAAATCAAAAAGGTAAATACAAACCTAAGATTTTGTTCACTATAGATGCAATTAATTAGACCCTCTTTCATCCTTCATTTGGATTGTAATGAGAACATTTATCATTTTCTAAATTCATGTGATTTAAGAAATGATTATATAAATACGACCAAAATAAAGATGATTTACAAAAATATGACTAGTTACCAAAGTAATAATAAAGTCATAGTAATTCATGTTCAAGTTTTCAGCTTAAGTTACCACAACACTACGTTATAGTAATGATTAGTCATATTTATGTAAATAAGTTTTATTTTAGTAATATTCTTGTGAAAAACACATGATTTAGTGACTAATATTATCTTAAAAAATTAATTTTATCGTAAAAAACATTATTGAAATCCGGTTCATTTTTATATTCCGTAACTAAAAATTACTACAATATACTGTCACAATTATATTTAAATTAAAGTGAACAAAAGTTATTTTTTTTGGAAAGTGAACAAAACAAAAGTTATTATGACTAAAGTTACTTCAATTTTCACTACTAATTTACAAAAATACTTTTAGTTTAGCTATGAATATATAATTATTCTAAAATTAAATAAACAAGCCCTGACATGAAGTTGTATAGGGAGACAACTGTCGTGATTTGGAAAATTTTGGAATGCCAACATTCAAAGAAGTGGGCAGGATCTCTAATCTGACTATAATAAAACAATAATAATGAGGTATTATGGGAAGTAAACTAAACTCTGAGATTAAGATAATCATTCTTCTTCTGAAATGGTGAGAACGTGACCACCATGCCCTCTCCATACTAAATAAATTTATCATCTATGAGTGACATCATATAGAGTTAGCATATAAAATTACTGGAAATAGATATATGAGTTGGATTTGCTTGATGTGTAAACTACAAATGGTGAAAAATGATATGGTTGAACAAGTGAACCATAGAGAAATACATATGGATTAGATTAAATTAGTATATATATATATAGAGAAGTGATCATGTCCAGCCGGAGGGACGGGAGGCGCCGTCCGAACTCCGCCGTTTGGGGCGGTTCCCGGTGGAATTTTTTGATGAATTTTTTTTAGCATGTTCTTCATCAAGTCTAGTTTGTTCATACCAAATTTCAGCTCAAAATTCGACCGGGAAGGCATTCAAATCATTTTTGAAGTGGACAACGCCAAAATATACATATAAAAACGTAGAATGTGCAGTAAGCTTCAAGAATTTATTTGACTGCCTTCCCGGTCTAATTTTGAGCTGAAATTTGGTATGGACAAACTAGACTTGATGAGGAACATGCTCAAAAAACTTCATCGAAAAATTCCACCGGGAAACGGTCCAAACAGTGAAATTCGGACGGCTTCTCCCGTCCCTCCGGAGGGACCTGAGCATTTCTGTGTGTGTGTGTATATATATATAAGTAACAAAATGTATTCAAAAATAATATCATGTAACTTAGATCAAATATACAACAATTTTAATTTAGCACGCTGAAATGTATACTAATGAAAATAAGTTTTCAAAAGACTAACTGAAATTGACGAAAATGACTATTTTATCTATTTTTCATATAATATTTATTTCATTTTTAATAAACTATAATTGAAGTACATTTTTTTATAATTTATCACATTTCAACTAATCACATTTCAACTGTTTAAACCAGTATTTCAATAATTTCAACAGATTTAATAAATTTGAAAAGGTTCTTTATATATGTATTTTATGGACAATATGTTACCTGGTTTCATTATAAAAAATCCCGCTTACATGCAATTGCAATGTTGCCACACTGCCACTGGTATGATGAGTATTCTTGTATTGCATTGGAACGAAAGGTGACAATATATAGGCTTTGTTTGCAAATACTACTAATTAATAACACTCATATCTTCCCACTTTCCTTTTTTAGTTGTAACAATCATATCTTCCCATTTCAAAATCTTCCCATCATACGCTCAATAATTTTAAAAATAATACACTATTACAACTACTTCTTTTGGATTTATCCTTCATTCCAACACACTATTTCATTATTTTCCCATCATACCCTCAATAATTTATATCTCCTATCACTATTCTTAATCTCACCTACTTTTCACATGGGAAGATATATCAGTTACGGAGGTAGTAAATGCTTTTGAACTCTTTCTAAGTGTTTTCGGAAAAAGTGTTTAATAATAAAAATTAGTAGTGTTTGAGAAAAAATGTTTTTGAAAAGTAAAAATTTATAGTGTTTAGTTAAATAAGTGCATTTGTGTAATAAAAAAGTAAAAAGCAGATTCTGACTTTTAATTTTTAAATATTAATTTAAGTAGAAGTCGTACTTGAAAAGACCCTTTTTAGCCTTTTTAAGTAGAAAACTTGGAAACCCTTTTTTATGGTGTTTGGGATACGTTTTTTAATAGTGTTTGCAAACAAAACGATAGATTTTGAGCCTGTTTGGAGACCTCTATTTTTGGCTTATCAGACTTATCAGCCAACTTTTTCACCAAACACGTAACTTTTACTTTCGCGCGCTGAATTGTGTAATAAGCTGAAAAAGTAAGGTTGGAGTTACTTTTCTGGCTGTATTGGCTGAAGTTACTGTAGATGACCATTTTAGCTATTTTTACATATAATTTTTTCTTTATTTTATTAATAAAATATATTTTTAAAATATTTTCTTCTTAAATCAATAGAATCAGCCAAAACAGCCACTCCAGCCAAAACATCATAAATTTCAGCAGAATCAGCCAAAACAGCCGATTTTGGTGCTACCAAACGGGCTCTTTATCATTTTGTCTAGAGAAACATCATCATGCTGCGGCACTGTTTTTCTTTCGAGGTGAAATAGGAAAGACGACGATGCCAAACAGTAAAAAAAAAGCCTAGTAAGCCAAAACAATTTAACCTGATAATCTTTTCTTAATTGAGTGTGCAAAATCAAAAATTCATATTTGATTAAAAAGTTATCTGATAAATAAGAAAACAGAGTTATCAAATGGGCTCCAAAGCACTCGTGTATTAGAAGTTATATAAGGGTGTTTGGAAATGATTCTGCTTGTGCTTCTTTTTTAAAGCACGAGCATAATCAGAATCAAAATCAAATTTTAGAAGCTTGTTTTCCCCAGTTTCTAAAAAATCTGTTTCTAGAGGTAAATTAAAACACTAGAAGTACTTCTGCACATTCACCCAATCACTCCAACTTTTTCTCCTGCTTCCTGAAAGAGCGGAAAAAGTTTTAAGAATCAGATCCAAACACCCCCATAATTGAATGGGACCGTCTCACTAAAATTATACAATCTTTCTTTTTTGTCTGTCTCACTAAAATTGTCTCATATTAAATTTGGTAAAGTTTGTATAATTAATTGTAACATCTCTTCCTCATGTCCGAATGTTAGAGGGACATGTGTACTACTGCATCTGTCCTCCTAAAATTGGGATAAAGGGAGTGACACAATTATTAAGAAAAATTAAATTATAAGGTTACTACTACGTATTAATTTAGTAAAAGTTGAGTCAATTAAAAGTAAGTTGCATCATTCATATATTGCCAAAAATGATACTCCCCCGTCCCTTAAAACTTTGCCAAATTTGATCAGAACGGTGATTAATTAAATAAAAACTGTGTGGTTAAAGTTTGTACAAAGGATAGAGAATTAACTAAAATAGAACCACAAATTCTTACTTGAAAAGAAAAGTGACAAAATTAATGAGACATTCAAAATATGAAGGTTGACAGAGTTTTAAGGGTCGAAAGGGGAGTATAAGACAAACTTAATAGAATGAAGTAGAAATGAAGTACTCCCTCCATCCTCCTAACAATGAGACAAGAGGGAGTGATACACAAATCTATAAAAAGTGATTTATATGGTTGATATTGAATTGATCAAGTAAAGAATAAAGTAAGAATGATTTATAGTCACACAAACTTTACCATATAAGGTATGAGACAATCTTAGCGGGACGGACCAAACTGGTAAAATGGGACAATCTTAGCGGGACAGAGGTAGTATATAATATGAGTAAAATATTTTTGAATGAAAGGAAACATACTTATCTCAATTCCATTTGTAATAAAAAAGGAGAATATTACCCGAAATATGACTAAAAAGATTTGAAAATTCCAAAATAGGACTGTCATATTTTTATTCCCAAGATAGGACTAATTATTGCCAAGTTTTGGCAATACCAGAATTCAAACATGGCAGTATTTTCCAAACTTGATAGTAATTACTCATATTTTGAGAATAAAAAACATGACAGTCCTATTTTGGAATTTTCAAACTGTTTTAGTTCTATTTCGGGAACTTTTTCCTAAAAAAAAGTGAAAAGAACTCTTCAATGGAAATATA